GTAGAGATTGTTCGTTTAACTTTCCACTCGAAAGTGTGGATATACTTTGATGATCAAGCTGGATGTTATATATCAAGGGAGCAATTCTCGAGGAATGAAAGATGATAATAATCGTGTCTCTAAAGAGGAGATTGGATAGTTTCCAGAGTTGATAAAACAATTTGGTTTTCGAATGAATAAAGCGTAAAAATAAAAATAATAATAATAATAAAAATTGTTTATCCTTGCTTCAATAAAAAGTCGCGGAGAATCGATTTAAAAATTTTAATAAGCAGAAATCGATTTTATCCGCTCCCTTGTATTTGCCTTACTACTATTTTTAAATACTGCGCCAACAAGTCCTTTGAAAAAAAAATATCGTTCTCTATATAGAAAACTACCGCTAACGTGTTATCAACCATAGCGTGCTAATAGATCGAAATTTAAACGTGGAATTATTTAGCCGCTAATAAGATCCGGAAACAAGATCGAAGACGATCAGACGACGGTGACACCGCGAACGTGTTCCTCCGTGAATTTTATCACGTAAATTTTATTGTTAATCTATATACGCAGATCGCAGAGAAATAATCATGAACGTATGTAAATTAAATTTATTTATTAAATTATTTATAGTTCGCTCGAATGAATAAAAATCCGTCCAATCGATTGATTATCAAATCGATTGAAAAGTTGAACGATCGATCGCGGAAATAAAATTATATGAATAAAAATTAATGTTATTGTAATTATCCGAGATTCGAGGATTTTGTGCCGTTCTGTTTTCAGTTTTACAAATCGACCGGTATTATGAACGTCTCGACCGTTTTTCCGGAAGGAGTCGGTGAAACGGAGAGGTCGCAGCGTCACGCATCAGCGAGCGTAAAGGATGACGAGGACGTTCAGGATAGATTTAATCGTGAGCACTGATTCTAATCCGTTCCCATGGTAACCTTATTGTAATTTTTGAGTCATTCGCTCAAGTTATACTCTCCTCCATGCTCGCGTCATCCCTTCATATTGTTATTATATCACTTGCGTTACAAGAATTTGAACGATTTTTAATTTAAAACGGATATAATGCTTGATACGTTTGAAAGAAAAAGTAAAAGTTGTTGTTGTTACGTATATGGAAGAAATTAGGGAGTATCAAAGATTTCAAATAAGAGAATGAGCTTTGGAATTTTTATTTTGAATATATTTTCGATTATCGAATGAATATTTAAAATTTTAGCCATAATTAAATGATGATTTTTAACAAGAAATATTATATAAGAGATATTCTAATTGTAGACAAAACTCTCGATGAAGATAGGGTTAAGGTTAGGTGTAAAGAACATTCGCACAATTTTAATATCAACGATAATCTAATTTAATTGTAAGCACTATATAATCCGTTTTTATAATAATTTTTCACGTTATAATTTTTCAATCCTTTCATCACCTTTGTTTCACATTATATCATTTGCTATGTTAGAAATTTGATTGTATACAATATCTTTTCGATGAATATTAAAAATTTTAGTCATCGTTAAATTGTTGACAAGAGGCAACTCTCTGTATTCTTTTATATCCTGGACAGAAAATATTCTTATCGGTATTGTAGACAAAGCTGATGATGAAGGTGGCGTTAATGTAAAGAACATTCGCACAATTTCGAGACATATCAATTTCAAGATCAACAATAGTCTAGAAGCGTGGTTTTATAAGCATAAATATATTTTGCACGTGTGAAATAATTTAACACGACAAATAATCATAATATTTTGAAAAACGATTCCTAAATCACTTGTATGATAATTAAATTCATTCTAAAGGAATATAAATTATTACCGTATCGGTGCGTGACATTTTCACATAAAGTAAAGAGGTTGGAAATTTACTAAACGTGTGTATCGGTAAAATCGGTTGAATATGCATTTCCAGTGAAAAAAAAAAAAAGCGTGATTCATTATCCGTTTATTCGATACGTAATTAATTCATATATATATACACATACGTACGTATGTTTAGACGAGTCCTTCGAGAGAATGATTATGCAATTACCATGAAATTTGCTGATACATCGTGTCCTCTTACGTACGAATAAATTGGTAAAAATTTTCCACATTGTTCAATATCTCGGTATAATCCGAGAAATAATTAAAACACTATGCTCGCCACGTGTGAATATCTTTTGTTTGTTTGGTTAAAGTGATAGTTATGAAGCATGTTACTCGATAATAAATGATCCTGTCATTATTATATACACTTGTAAATATATTCTTTACGCTTGAATTTTAATTCAAAAGAAAACTTTTCCTCTTGTTAATTAAAATTATAAAGTACCTTTGAATTGAAAAAGTATCCTTCACTTCGATAATTACACTCTATAAAAATGATTTTCAATTTATCGACGGAGAAGCAAGCGAGACGTTAATTCTAAATTAATTGTAAGGATTCTCGATAGATCGCGACTCGCTTTTGTTTGCACATAAGGTGCTAATTCATTATAGTGGACAAATGTACAATGTACAATATACGTGTATTATAAAAGACAAAGTTCAAATTCGTTTGAAATTTTCTTCCAGATATAATCGCAATATAACTTGAACGTTTTCCAAGCAAGAAACAATATTTCGTTGGAAAATAGAAAAAAAGGATCGAATCCATGAAGAAAGTAAATAAATAGAGGGAAAAAAGGTCCATCTTTTTCGATAAATCTATATAACGATAGTTATAGAAAGTCATGTTCTCGAGATACAACAAGATCTCTCCGATCTCTGTGTAACGGAGATCTGGTACACCGGTATGATTCAGCGACGGTGTTTGGAAATTTCCAGATTTCACCTTGACTTTGATTGCAAGTCGCACGCGAGCCTGATCGTGCGAATCCCTCAGATACAGAAGGCTAGTACGTGTTACGTGTACTAAACAAATCCACCGAGACGAGTTCAGAATTCTATCTCGTTGAAAAAACGTGGCGCGTTTTTTTTTTATTATGAAACGTATTAAAACTGGAAAATTTATTTTCATTCGTAAAACGCGTACATTTAATAATTCAACTTTGAGACTGAGTCGAATGTGACAACGTGTAATCTAATTTTTTCTCTAATTCAATTAAAAATGAATATTTTCTCGTTGTGGTACGAAGTAATTACGCTTAAAAGCATTACGAAACGCGAATAACCCTAGGGAAAAGTCTCTCTCTTTCTCTCTCTTGTAGACTAACAAACTTGCTTGACATTATCGTAGAATTGAAAAAAAAAAAAACGAATGGAGGATGAATAATTGAAAACGCAATAATCACGATACAGATATGTCTTAATAAAACGGAGGGAGATATTGCTATGCGTAAATTGTAAAATGAATGTGAATTATGTTAGTACGACAATGAGTTTCTTCTATGCGTATCTAACTTGGAATGCATACCGAATGAAAATTGAACCGCATACCGATGCACATTGACTATGCAATCTATGCCAAGAGATGGATAATAAGGAAAAAAAAGAAACGTGTTTAATCAAATTTTCCAATGACTATTGAATCTCTCGTGATTTTCTTGTATTGCTATAAAAGAAAACATTTTTTCTTTTTTTCTTTTTTCTTTGCAAGCTAATAAATCGGTTAAAATCGACGAAAAATACAAAGATCGAAAAAAGAAAAATTTCTGTAATTTTCTTCGGAAATATCGAAAATTGAACGATCGTTACAACGACCAGTTTTCGGCCTAACTGGATTGATTAAACTTAGCACGTGCTGCAAACCGGCTCCACCGGACGAAACACGTAATTACACGATGCGGATTCGCGTCAATGTTTCGTAGTTTTCGTGATGTTCGTTATCCGACACGCGTGAAACACCAATGCAAAAAAGAAAACCACTCTGTGAATCATACGATTTATCCGTTTCGCGAAGAGAAAAAGAACGAGGAGTGTGGTTATGTTGACTTTCGATATTTGTAAAAAAAAAAAAAAAATACGTGAAGTTGAATTAATCATTCGTGTCATCGTATCTTTTTCAGAAACGAGATATTCCTGATGAAACGTTTGTGATTTAAAATACATTTCGAATTAAAGCAATCGTTCGATTTAGAATCACGGGTAAAAAACACATAACCTATAAGAATGAGAATACGCGTAATAATTTCGTAATAATTCGTAATTAATTTGTTTATTTCATTAAGACAAATCTCGGTTTAATCGGTGCTCCCTATCAGGGAAACGCATTGTTCTCACGATTTTCTCAACACAACAAATAAGTTTACATAATGTACAATCTTCCTGTCACTACTTCGATACGTAACCTTAACCTTCGCAAGCATGCGCAATCGTTAAACCGTATTTACAATATTCAGAGGAAAAATAAGGTGCTTTTTCAATAAAATTTAAAAGTATAAAGATTTACAATATTGCGCGATTATATATTACTCGATCCGACGCAACGTGAATTATAGAAAGAAATTCAGCCAATAAAATCGTCCTTCGCTCGTCGCATAATTAGGTTTAATTACAACGAGAATAAGAATATCGCTGACGAGAATCGATCAACGTTTAGCACAACGAGCCAATATACGTTCGGCTATACTTTATTATCAATCAACTGAACGTTTCAAAATTTATAGCATTTTAAGATAATAAAATAAATTCATGCAAATCCTTTTTCTCGGTCGAACGTAGCGAACTGTTCCATCAAAGTTTACGATGTTCTTAGAAACGCGTTTCCTACATGTAACAAAGAACAGGCATGGATGATTACCGTCAATATACTTAATTTATTAATCAATTAATCAAGAAACGCGAAGAAGAGAATTTCTCGATAGATCGAGTCATTGATAATAAACATTGTAACGTACGGCAGGATTATTATGATTATCTTATTACACGATGTATATGTATAATAACCTCGTCGTAGAAATATTTTTACTTTATCGATATTGATAGTTTTACGAACGAAATAAAACGAAATTCGTAACGAGACACATACGGATAATTATTCAATACACTTCGATAACTAAATTTTATTACACACATTTGCGACATCGATCACGCGTATTTACCGACACCTTGGAACAATATAACGTTAAAGAGACAACGCTTAACGACAATTTGTCGGCGATCTTTCCGAAATAGTGACACTTTCCACCATCGTTTATCACCGTAATGATACAGTTTGATGTACGAATACAAGTTCTTTGACGCTTAAAATTACAAATTACGATATTTATCTTACGTTTACCAGAAAATGAAATATATTTCCACTCCGTGTTTTCGTTTCGATTATGACATCATCTCTCTCCACGATGTATACATTCCATTATACAAGCCTTTCTATGCACTGACATTCATAATTTCCGCTCGAGAAAATTGCCCCAGGCGTAAAGAGCCTTGCGTTTTGCAGCCTTTTGCAGCGTCGGGGATATTTAATTTCAGGTTTCGATTACGTCCAGAAGTTTAAAGAATATTTTAACGGTGACGTCCCGCAACGGTGGACCGCAACGTGCGCGAATAAAGCGTAACAGAGATTTCATGGTCTCGTGCTTTGCTCACTCGTGCGGTTTCACCCTCGATATAATACAGCCCTGCCGATCTTAACGATTTTCGCCATCGATAAAATCATCGGACCGCGAAATATATACGCAGAAGGATAATTGATACATTTCTCTTACGGACGGATTCGTAACTCCGAGAAAACTCGTCGATATAATATTCGACTTTTTTTTTTTTTTTTTTTTTTTTTTTTTTTTTTTTTTTTT